ATTTATAAATATATAAATTTTTATATATTTAAAAATATATAAAAATATACTAATCACATGTTTATTATTTATTTTATATTATAATATAAGGCGATTATCAAAGATACCTTCTGGGAGAACTCCCAAGATAATAGCCTTTGATAATCGCCTTTATGTCACGGTACTGTTTGACTCCTACTTAAATTGTTGTGCTTGTTGAAATTGGCTACTATTTAGGCGTGAGACACGTGAAGAAAACACAAACAACCTTATTCAGCCAGCCATCGATCGGGTGACAACCCCCAACCAAATATCAGGGTTTTATCCAACTTAAGTTTGAATTTAGAAGTGCGGGTTATGAAGCAGGTTTTATGTCAGTTTTTAATTGCAGGGTCATTAAATACGTTTTTCTTATATCTAAAATCACGGAAAACGTATTTAGAAAACGTGAGAAATTCTTTCTGCAGGCAGACATATTCATCTAACATCACGATTTTTCACGAAACCACTACAGGCATACGTACTATTATTTCTTTTGTTTTCTGCTACTTATTTTATGTACAGTACATGTACGGTACATTACCCAATATAAATAATGATGGCAGAAAACAAACCATGACAATTAAAACGCTTGATGCGAAAATTGTCATTCTAATAAGCTATAAATTTATTGTTATTTTCATCACTACAAACTGAATTTTGACCATTAAAAATCTATATTCATTTAAATTAAAACTCTATCTCTTGCTTGATTGTACAGTGTTGTGTTTTATTAATTGATATACTTCACTTCCATACAGTGAATATATTTCTCTGTAAAAAATTAAATAATGAAATGAAGTTTATTATTATTATCATTTTTTTCATATTTTTCAATCAGCCAAAGTTCATTGTTTTGGAGAATCGACTTGTTATCCTTTAGCCTTTGGATTTAATTCGATTATATTAATATTGACATTAGGTAAGTCAATAATAACTCTAAATATATTACAGTAGTGTTACTTATAATACATTTTACTATTGATTAAGTATTAGAGTAAATGTGTTTGAAAATACCGAAATTTTTATGTATTGCCTACGATACAAAACTCAGTGTAAAATCCACATATAAAAGTTTGATAAGCTTTAAACAAAAAATGTATACGTTTAAGAAAAACTAATACACATCAGTACAAAGGTGAAATTGTGTGTGGCACCATCTGTTATGGTATTTTATTTTAAAAGTTACTTTTGTATTATTAATTATTAAAAACGGTCAAAAGGCATGGTTTTGAGGGGAGAGATGATGTTTCGTGAGATATTGTAAATGCCAAAACCGAACAAAATTTTTATTAATTTCGTTTTTTGACTTCATTCAAGACATGACGCTTAACCACTCTCTATCTCTCCACCTCTCACCTCTCGAGTTACGTATTACAAATTTTAATAGCATCAATGCTCTTTATATGCATGTTACAATGCCACATTTCTTAATCTTTATGTCATTCTGAGATATTAAACGAAACTTACGCGCAGATATACGTAAATTCCCCCTTTTCATTGTTTTGGGTTTAGAGAATTTGAAAATTTGAAAAGATTTGCAAAGGCAGGACAGGTCAAATCTGAGACGACTGCAATACTTTCCTGTATTATGAACGGATATAACAATTCAAAAAGTAAAATGTCTTTAGAAAAATAGTATTTTTTGTTATGATACAGGAATTAAGAAACTTAGATAAAATTAGGGTAATGTTACCCCAAATAATTGGCCAAAGTTACTATAGCGAATAAACAAGACTATAGGAAAAATGATATCTAATAAATTTAAACAATTTAATTCTAAACATTAAATACTTCTATACGTAACCTGTATAAAAATAAAAAATCTAGCAACGACTTGCATAACTATTCCGGCAGTTATAAGAATTTATTTAAAAATAACTTTTATATTATTAATACAATTCATAAAAAAATTGCGTGTGGCGCCATCTGTTATGAGATTTTCTTATAAGCAACTTTGATGTCTTTAGTTATTAACGAATGGTACAAGTGTAAAAATGTAAACTGTAAATGTTAATAACGAATAATATCTTCATAAATTCCAGCCTGTCTCAAATATAAGACATGACACTCCTCTATCTCCCCGTCCATTTGACTACTAACCATCAAAATTTAACTATATACGTTCTTTGATGCAGACCGGAAGTCAGGTTATTTTCATTGAAATATTTTTCCCTGAGCTTGCACGACTCTACTGTTATAAGAAAAGTATGATATACTGTACAAGGGCAAACCACTACTAATTTCAGGTGGAGAGCATATACAAGGTAGATTCGTTCCGTTCTTTATGAAATTTATGTGCTACGAGTCCTTAAATACATGAGCCAATCACAGCCCGGCACGTATTCACTTTACGGACTACGGCTGTTTGAAAGGTTTTCTTCCATAAAATTACCGATTCTAGACTAATTCGACTCAACATTTCCAAAATACGTATAATTTTTTGGGAATAATCCATATAAACTATTCTATAAACAAAAAATTGTAGGATTACTTACCGAGTGTGCACCGTTCGACGACGCCATTGCTTAAGGTTGTTTTCGTCGCGGAGCGATGCATCGAATGGCGCTCATGTGCTTCCTGATAAATTATTTTTTTGCGAAAACTTTGCTGAACTTTGGAGACATCATTAATATAAATATAATTTTTATGGACGTTAAATAATAAATGGTTTTTAGTAGATCCGCTGCTCGTTTAAACTCAACGGTTTGTGCAATATCTGCTATTGGTGTAGATTCGACCAATCATGTCGCGACACGAGTCGGCGATGACGTTTTACTGAATTATACGAGTCTCTTTTAGCGTACATATACGAATACGGTCGCAATTTTTTCGCCGTCATATAGGAATCCGAACTATATGAACCTGTTTTATGGGGGGGGTCTACTGTATTTTAAATTAAATAAATGAAAAATATTAAAAATTGCAACCTGCATTTGTGACAACGTCACAATAAATACTTTTATGTTAAAATTCACTGAATTAATCCGCACTAAAGAATATTTCAGTAATCTGTATTATTTTGTTTTCTAGTTATTTTTATTTTCGGACATCCAAGTTACAAAATTAATCCTCCCTCTAAAAACGTACTATTTGAAGGATTTAAATGTACAATAGTAAGTATATATTTTTTACTTTACTAAATAACTTGTTACGGTTCAGATTACAAATAAACCACGTTACAAAGAAAATTTGACTTGATATAGTTAATTTTAAATTTAAATTCGTTTAGAAAATTATTAATTTTGGAGTGAATATAATAGGAAAAAGAGGACCAACCACTGATGATAGAATTCACGATTTGGTTTTATTCTATAGAGCAACGCGACACATGGGCGATCTGACGAGGAGGGATGCCTCCCTGGGATCTTTTATGGGATTATAAAAAACTGCCCCTAATTAGGTATTGCTAACGTGAAGAAATCCGTAAAACTCCACGTGATTAGCCCGTTGGCCTGGCGCGAACTGTCGATCAACTGCCAGTGTTCAGTGGTTTTATCCTCTCGATTATTGGTGGGCGTCAATATTCCATACTATTTTCTTCAGTTTTACTGTATAATATTGGCAATAATGATAATTAATTATAAATGAGAGTATATTCAAATACTTTAATAGAAAAATAATCCAACAACAAATTGGTTAACTTTCCCGGGTACATTTTAAATTTTGGTGGTGTCATCTTTTATATTTTACTAAAAAACCTTTTTAAAAAATATAAAATGGCAAAAAGCTTAATTTTGAGGGTAAGGATGGGTTTATTAAGAAATTGTAACTGGTAGTAACGCGATAATTCGTCATGAAGTCCGACCCTACTCGAGATATGACACACGACTCCTCTCTGTGAATGTTAGTGTGATGAAAGCATGATTTTGTTTGCCCTATTTGAAGCTTATTAACTCTTGTGCTTTTTGTCGAAAATTTCTGAAATTTTGCTGTGAGGTTTGTTTATTACGGTATTGATTCTGTTAAATTTTGGTAAATAAAGATCAAGGAATGGGGAGATATAGGTCCATGTGTCTTATCTCGAGTAGGGTCGGATTTAACCACGATTTTACTCGTTATTAGCATTTAAAATCTTTATAAAACTCATCCCTATTCTCAAAATTAAACTTTTGGCAATTTTATAAGAAATATAAAAAGTGTTTTGAAATAAAATTTCGTAACAGATGGCGCTACCAAAACTTTAAGTGTTGCTGGGAAAGTTAAGCTACTCGTCGCTGGATTTTTTGATTATTTTTTTAATTACTAAATTTAAATATATGGCTGGAAATTTGGACTTACTAATTTCGAATTTAATTTTAAATGTGAAGATTTTTACATTTTATATTATTTGATATTATAATATAAAATTTTTATACTGTTTAAACCGTTTTCCTTTTAAAGCACGCTATCATAAGAAAGATTAAACTGAGGAAAGTTGTAACCAAGAAGGATTGGTTGGATTATGCGGATGATAAATTTGATGTATGCTGTTTTTTTCTTGCAAATTACATTCAAATGTTCAATATATAATTATTTATTCAATTTATATTTCAGAGGCAATTAATCTACGATATAAAAAGACTATTTCGAATTATATCGGTATTTCTATTTCTACCGATGATTTCTGCTGTTCACTATTTAAGAGTAATTTTTTATAAGAGAATTTTTATCAACTTGAGTAAATTGTGTTTTCATAGATTCTCATTATATCTATCTTTATTTGTTCAAGTTTTCCAGTTTTATATTGCAAGCGACCAAGCTAGACAATAGAGTTGTAAGTAATTTTGAAAATTTTATAGAAATTACGCCATTATTTTCTTAGATATAAAAATTAAAATATAACTGAAATAGTTATTTCTCATTAAATAACTGTACCATCTCAAAATTTTTCACATTTACGTTTGTGTTTAAATTCACTTTTTCACATTAAAATTACGTGTTGAAATGCAAAGATTTAAAATTAATTTAATCAGAAGGCACGCCATTTATGAGATTAACACCTGGAACTGTAGGAATTACATCGATTTTATTCTTTGTATTCTTATATAGTTAAAGCATAGCGCTGAGTAGGAACAAACTCAGCGCTATGCTTTTACAATCTGGTATTCAAGTCTGGTTTTTTTTATGCGCGCATGATTTGGGCACCTAATACTCTGTGCCAAATTGCAACCCTTGACATGTATTTCTTCATACCTCTAAGCTGGTAACACATCAGACAGTGCGATTTTATAAACAAGACAGTCTTGTCAAAAATTACATTTGGAAAAATTAATATTTCAAAACAACAAATAATATAGAAAATTTTATTTATTTAAATTGTTTGACACATTTATTATGTCTTCAAATAATCATTTCAAACACATTCATTTTGCTACATTATCATACAGGATGAGAAAGAAAGTCACTTAACACTCCTGCTACATAATATAAAATGTATCCAAAGTTAATTTGCTCATGTCAGGAGCACATATTATGTCAAGGGGAAAACAGATTGATCTTAGTGCTCATAGATTCATCTTGTAATATAAGAACAAAAAAGCAAATCACCAATCAAAAGATTGATGTGCGTTACACGCACGACTGCAATCTTGATGGCGACCATATCGAATGCAACTCCGAAACTGAAAACGAGAAGGGGATCATGTGACACATTATTTAGAGTTAGAATTTCACAAGGAATTGATTGTACTCAAGGTACAATCAATTGATTGTACTCAAGGTACAATCAATTCACAAGGAATTACATGATGTACTCAATGTACAATCTTTGGGTACATTCTAAATTCTGTAGTAGGGGTGTTAAGTGACTTTCTTTTTCACCTTGTACTTTGATTATGTTCACTTAAATTCATACACATTATCAAATGTAACATTAAATAACTCATCAACATTGTTTTAATTGTGTTATATTCTATTTCAACACTGGCAATTACATTGCATTTGGTTAATTTAAATATAATTTTTTTCTCTCTTAGCTAGGATTTAAGATTGAAGCAGATCAACTTCAAGTCATAGTTGCTGTTCTAGGAATTTTATATATCCCTATTTTTGAGTACATCGTATATCCCATTTTCAATAAATGTAACTTGTTAACAAGGTATTTAAATTAATATAAAAAATTTTTATTTTCTTCTTTCTTGTTGCTATATAAATAATAGATAATAGTTTCTGATACAGTACTTGTTTTAATTACAATAATAATTATTTAAAACAGATATATTCCTTACAAAATACATAGTGATTTATGATATAAAAATTACTTTTCGATGTACCTCTAATAAAATATATGAAAATGGAACAAAAAGTATTGCACAATATATTACTATATTAGAAAAAACAAATCCAGCAATGAGTTGCTAAAATTTTCTGGCAACATTTAAAAAATTAAAAACTGTTATGATATTTTTTTATTATCTTTTAATTTTTCTATTTTTAAATATTACAAAATGGCAAAAAGCTTAATTTTAAGGAAAGATTTAAGTTTTATAAAAATTGTAAGTGCTAATAACGATTAAAATAGTCGTTAAGTCCCACCCTACTCGAGATATAACACACGACCCTTTCTATCTCGCCACCCCTTCGATCTTTCACCACCAAAATTTAACAGCATCAATCCCCCTAATTCACAAACCTTCATTGAAAATTTGAGACATTTTCAACGAAAAGCACAGCAGTTATTAAGCTTCAAACAGGGTAAACAAAATCGTGCCCTCACATAAACAGACACCCATTAAATTTCCATGTAAAATTATATTATGAGAACATATATTTTTCTCGTATATGCGTTTTTATATAATTATATTATCTTTCCTTTTTTCTATTCGTACTTAACTTATTAAAAATATAATGTAAATTTACTAAATAATTTCGAATTTAATTTTAATTTTAGATCGTTGCAGAAAATCGTTGTTGGTTGTATATTAATAACGTTATCGTGTATTCTAGCCGCATTTCTACAGTTGTCATTAGAGGTATAATTAACTTATATTGATTTTAATTGTTTAATTGTGCTGTAAAGTATTTGAACGTGATGATGTAAGAAAATTAAATCGTCCAGTTTAAACCCATTTTACAAGAAAATAAATCTTTGTTTGGCAATAAATCAGGCAATGAATTCTTTAACTTTTCCGGAAAAATTTGGTGGCATCTGTTATGATAGTTTAGTAAAAATCTTTTTATAGTTTTAATTATTATAAGTTGGAGAGTTAATATTTTGTTGGCCCTCTTTTTGATCTTACTAGAGCTTTTATCCATCTTGGCACTGTCAAAATTAATTCAAGGTTTCTTTAGTTATTTTATTCCAGCTAATTTTTAATGGCTTTAAGTTTATCTTTATTACTTGTTCCCTTTCATCAACCAACCTTTTTTAAATTTGCCGATAAATTCTCAATAGAGTTTAAATCTGAGATATTTTTAAACCCTTAGACTTTAAACATTCTTTAGTTTGTTGATTTGCTTTTTGAAACCGTGTCCTGTTTTATACTTGTGGCGTAGTAAACACTAGTATTGTGTTTTATTCCAAAGACACATGGCAAATTTCCCATCAAATTCCTTTATTAGTTGAGTCGATTCATCTCAACTAACCGACTCAACTAATAAAGGAATTTGATGGGAAATTTGCCATGTGTCTTTGGAATAAAACACAATACTAGTGTTTACTACGCCACAAATTCTTTAGTTTGTTCGGCTCGATGGCATATGACATTATCATCCTGCAAAGAACAATCAGCATCTCCAAAGTGAACTTCGATTATTAAAATCAGAAACGGTTCTAAAATTTCCTCATTGAGGAAATATTTATTTTCAAATCTAATAACTGACATGCAACCCCAAATCATTAAACTTTTTGGAAACTTAGTGTTCGTATTCAGGCAGTTTTCCTTAAATTTCTCATCTAAACATCTCCAAACGAATTTTCCTGCATCATCACAACACTCAATGCATATAGCACTCTCATCCGAAAAATAACCTTTTTCCACTCTTTTACGGTGTAATTTTTGTGCCGTCTTTTGTGTTTTAAAGATACAATTTTAAAAAACTGTAGACCTATAAATACCCACAGACCTATAAATACCCACTGCCTATCTGTCTGTCCTTCCTTAATCTTAAGAACGGTGTTAGGTAGATAAAATTGAGAACAGATGTGGAAGGCATACCAGCGGGAGGCCCCGAATAATTATATATAAAAATCACAGCCCGGCACATCGTCATAATGCTTGCTGCAATTTCTAATTATATTTTTATTTTATAAGTTAAAATATATGATCTCCAACTCAAGTTAGTAGGGTCTTGCTACTGTACATCATACTTTTCCTTTAAGATTAGAGTCGTGCCGATCATCTATCTAACACTTTTCAGGGAAATATTTTTGAATTGAAATAACGTGACTTCCGGTTTGTACAGAAACTTCTTATATACTTAAATCGGGACCTCCTGCTCCTTCAATTCACTTTCTATACCCGGTATTGGCTTTCATCTGTATAACACCGTTCAAATTAAGGAAAGACAAACAGTGGGAATTCATAGGGCTACAATTTTTGTCAAATTGCAGTCCAAAAATGCATATTTTTGTTTTAAATATTAAATTTTTACTTGTAAAATGAGTATAAACGTCATTTTTTAAATATAAAGATAAATTATAATTATATTTTTTTCCAGAAACATCACTCAAACTGTGACGACATATATCGCTTTACTATTGTAAATTACACGCCGTGTGACGTAAATATAGACATTCCTATCAATTCATTAGTAATGGAGGATTATCAGGTAATTTCCATTTTTGAAATGTGCTGATCAATGATTATATATAAAATATTTTTTAATAAAACGAATTGATACTGATACCGGGAATATTTAAAGTGATTGGCGTTAATGGTTTCCGTTAGGAAACCATTGTTGACTCATCTATCAATTACTAAAATATGAAAAACATATTTAATTTGTTACGTAACACAATTGACAGTTGTTATTAATTTTACTTTCCAGGCTGTTATTTATAACAGAGGAAAAGTATGGCGATCGTTCAAAAAATGATTCCCAAAATTTTTACATTTTTGGACTCAGGACATGTTGAAACGTCGAGAAATGAAAAAATAGTTCGGGAGATTATTTCTGGTTGTTAATGGGTGTTTGTGAATTATTCATGCTGTTTGAAGCTTAATATCTCTTTTGCTTTTTGTTGAAAACTTGTAAAATTTTTCAGGGAGGTTTGAGTATTGAGGGGATTGATGCTATTGAATTATGGTGGTTAAAGGTCGAAGAGGTGAGGAGATAATGGAGGTTGTGTATATCTCGAGTAGGGTCAAACTTAATGACGATTTTACTCTTTTTTTTAGCATTTACAATGCTTTTTTTAAACCATCCCAACCTTCGAAATTAAGCTTTTTTCATTTTATAATAATCAAAAAGTAAAAAGGTTTTTTAATAAAATATCACAAAATATCGCGGCACACACGCAGTTTTAAATGTTGCCGGGAAAGTTAAGCAACTCGTTGCTTGGTTTATTTATTTATTCCTGTGGAGAAAGTACTCAGAGGAGAAAAGATTATCTAAAGGCAAAAGCAGAAAAGTAAGGGAATTAAAAAATGGATGGTAGGAGGCGGCAAAGGCAGAAAAGGACAGAAGGAAATAGAAGATTGGCATAGAAAATTTAATTCATGAACACGTGTTTACTATTGACTTGTATTTGAATGCCAGCAATATAATTGCCATTTATTTTTGCATTGTTCCTTTGGGTTCGTAATGGCGTTTTAAATGTTTTGAAGTAAATATTAGAGTAATAGAAAAAAAGTATTAATATATATATATATTTCTATAATGTAATTTATATAATATTAAATCAATATAAAGTCTACTCTAAAATTATTTTTTACAAAATTTATTTATTTAGATCAAAACAAAAGTTGCCGAAAATGAATCTGTTCATGGATTAAATCTAGCAGTTACAAAGTGTAGTCTCTCGAACGAGGAAATAAATTATAATATTGCAAATAACAAACCCTTAGAAACAACCGTTATTTTAAGCATACACAGAACTAATTCAACTATAAAGGTAAATAATATTATTAGTATCATTAATTGAAACAATACTTTAAGTGAAATAATATATAAGTGAATTATGTAATTTAAGTAATATTGTATTGTTTTAGTTCTGTTAGTCATCTAGCTCCGTTTTTCTCTGTGAGCATTAAAAAGGTCCTTTCCCATATTCATCGCGCGTTTAGCTAGATCCATAAGGGAAAGACGAGGCCCTACAAAAATGTAGGAAAATAATTATTGACCAGCATTAAGCAAAGAAATTCTGCATTTTCTGAACAATTGGCCAGGATATCTTCAGGTCAATTAATAAAGACAGCGAGAGTGAATGATCCAGAAAGAGATGGAGAGATAGCATCAAGGACTGGATGAAAACTTATATGAGGAATGCTCATGACAGGGAAAGATGGAGAAAAATGGTTCGTCAACTGCGACCCTCTAAGAAGAGGATGCCACAAGAATAGAATAGAATAGTAACGTAGATTCTCACAAAATCTGCATGTTACTACAGCATTATATCTAATTATCTTATGCATCTCACGCTATTAACTATGCAAATTTAACTTTATATATGTTTTTATCTGATTGATAGATGCAATTGTAATATATATTTTAATATTTAAACTATTTTTTAGTCGATTTTCTAAGCTTTGTTTTGAATGATTCATTCTTCTCATTATTATAAAGCCACTACAAGAATCGCTTTATCAAGATTATAATATTTGCATTTTAAGTTAAAATTTACTCGTTATTTTAATTGACTAGATTATGTGTTTGCTAGAGTCTGTCCTAGAAAATAATAAAATTTAAAATTAATTTTTTTCCAATCTTTTTAATTAAATTATTTGGAATATTTTAAAGGAAAACGAGATTTTGCAAGCATTTTCAACCAAAATTAATTACGACTCGAATGTAGATAATCGCCGCAATGCAACTAACACAGATAGTGACATAATAAAGTAAGTTTAAATATTATTATTTAATATATTTTAGTTTCATGTGGTCAGGGCCGCTGAGAAGAAAGCTAGGGATTTTTTCCGCAAGTCCGGAGACAATTTAGGGGAAATCATGGAAAAATTTGATTCTCTGAGGTTCTGGAAATCTTCACGTTTTGAGACCCATAAAAGTCAAACACATCAAAAAAGTTTCGTGGATATGTGTATTTGGGTGGGTGGGTGTGAGTGTGTTGCATCTATTTTGTTTAACATCTCAGGATAAAGTGTCATATCTCGCGTGGGGTCGGACTTAATGAAAATTTTACTTGTTAGCATTTTGCCATTTTATAATAATTGAAAATATTGAAATTTTTAAAGAAAATCTCATAACAGTGAAGAAAGTTACGCAACTCGTTGCTAGATTTCTTTTAAGTTTTGAAAAATAAGTTGTTAAATAATATATAAATTGCAAAATTGTTTTGCAGATTTAAAAAAGAAATTACGCTAGAATTGATTTATTACACAAGTGTTGAAAAATCATAATCCGTTGTTGCAAGAATTATGGGAATTTAATTAGTGAAACATGGAATATGCGATTTAATGAGATAAACTTTCAAATAAATGGAGGATGATTGTGGACATTAATGAGAAGGTTTCAAAATTTTAAAACGCTGTGTTTTAACAATTTCAAGTTGTTTTTAAATAAATTACATATTTTATATATATATATTATTGGTAACTGTATTCTTAAAACATGCAATAACACATTTTTTAAAATTTTATTTTAATCTATATGATAATTCGTTCTACATTTTGAATTTACAGAAATATAGTTTAGGTAATATCGTATTGTAGCACGATAGAACATTAGAAGGTAAAGTACGTGTAACATCGCAAAACACAAATCAACTAGTGTTTTGTCATTGTAATCTTCGAAACGTAAATTTTTGACGCTAATTATTAAATAAATTTATTAAATCTTTATATGCGTTTTGTAATAATTACCATAATAAAATAATACAAATCTCGAAATCATAATTGATGAAGTATTTGGTCTATAACAAAGTAAATTACGTGTCCTATTTTCACAAAATGCCGTTTTCTGTAAAAGTTTCCTGTAACAATACAATCATTCCGAAAACTTTCGAAATCTGTCTACTAATATAGCAATTTGTATGCTATCTAAGAAAATTTTAAAAAGTGTAAAATTTTCTACAAACCTTCGCTTAAATAGTGGCAAGAACTGTAATACCATTAATTCTCTTATTCTATAGTCAACGGTTTGTCATAACTTTATTGAAATTCGTACAGATAAACATTATTATGTGCTTTATTCTGCAATTCTGTTTGTAACTGCTGATTTGCTAATTACATTTTGGATGACCCATAAGTCTGGAACAATGGAAGTTACGTAAATGGAAGTTAAATTTTTACAGGTAAACATGGCGCTGAGCAAGGAGAAACGAATTTAAATTATTCTGATAGTGGGGATTTACAGTCAACGATAAATTCTGAGGTGTTTAACAGGTGTGATTAGTGAGAAGTGTGAATTTATCTTTACGCTGACTGCAGGTTCTTAACATTAAAATAACTAAAATAAATGAAATCAACATAACTCCTATAGTTCCAGATTTATGGCACACTGAATATTTGTGTAAGTGAATGATGATAACATTTTTTTTTCTTGTCTTTAGCATTGCTATTGGGAGTGGAGACATTTACAAATTAACAGCATATGCAGATCAAAATGGAAAATTAGTAATCATTTTATTATTAATAAATGTTTCATAACATAATATACGTATATACTAACTTTACGTTCAATAGGATTGGAAACAGGAGAATAAATCTAAATGCAACTCTTTATCCATTTTGCTTCAAATTCCTCAATATATTATAATTGCAGCAGGAGACACGATATTTTTCATTACCATACAGGAATTTGCATATAGTGAAGTAAATTATGCAGTTTGTTTTTTAATTTCTAATTTTAATAAAAATTAACACAGCTTAATAATAGACATATTTTGCCCCCAGGCACCACAGAGTATGAAATCTATTCTTCAGTCCTTCTTTTGGTTTCAATCAGCTTTTGGAAATTTCATAATTCTCATTATTCAGCAGATGAATTTCGTAGAAGAGGTACGTTTGTTTGAATTTTTTGACAGGAAATATAAATAATTAATAATAGAATTAGAATTTAAGTGATTGAATTAGTAATCATGTCGCGTTTAATGATAAAAAAAAATTGTAAATGGAGCTAAACTATTGAGCACGATCATATCGTGGAAGAAATTGGCAGAGAAAGTAGAAGAAAATCAAAGTATAAAAGTCATAGAACAGACTTCAATGATTGTGTTGTCAAACATGTTTTCATTATTTTTTATTGTAATGTCGATCATGATTCTTAGCCGCTTGTATAGGCTTGTAAATGGGCGTGTGTGGTAGTAGACAGTGTTTGAAACACTGTATAACTAATTTTTACGAATGCACCATCAATATTGATCATGAGAAGGAAAATCGCCTAAAAACTAACTACTTCCTACCTAATTTACGTGTTCTCAATAAAGCTATCGTTTTTAATATCTAAGCGTTTCAGACATTGTTATGCTTTCCGATGCACCCTGTAGACGTGATGTAAACAAAAATCATAATGGTATGGTGATAAAGAATAATTTCACTTAAACATTAATAGAAGTTAAGACAACCGATCACGCTTCATTTATAGTATGAATTTTGCATTTTGTAATTAAAGATTATTAAAATCAACAAATCAAAAAGTTTGTTGCATTTTATACCACGTGAGACATGAATGGATCATTACGAACCATCATTTAAGGTTCACGTGGTCACCCAACTCAAAAATTCTAGGAAATTTCGGGGTGAGTGGTTCCATTCCGGATATGTCAGGTGCCGTTCCTCACCATCAGGGCTTTGCCAAACTCATAATGAACTCGATAAAATGGACTTCTGTTGAGGTATTTTTGTTGAAGCAATATAATAAATTAACTACGGAATAAATAAATTGAGATTTAATTTAACATTTTTAATTAATTTATTTATTCTTTACGAAATACAGCGCTATTGTGTTCTTACGAAATATGATCGAATTCCGCAAAGAACAGTCTTCTTAGAGTATAATTGTATTGTTTATTTAGGGGAGATCGGGACAAGATCGGCATGTTAAGCTTTACTTAAATTTTGTGTAATAAATACTGCAGTAAACTGAAAAAAAAGCTTTGCATATTGTCTATTGGAATGTTACCTTACTATAGAACTGGTTAAAATCAGTTTGGAAATAAAAATAATAAAAATAATTACAACTTTACAAGAAGAGAGAAATTGACGAAGTTGCCCCGGGTATAGGGGCAAGATCGGCAACTTCTCTCTTTTTGTAAAGTTGTAATTATTTTAATTATTTTTATTAAAGTTGCCCCTGGTATAGGGGCAACAGTAATGGGGCAAGATAGGCACGTATATAAAATTATGTTATTAACAATGTATAAGTTGGAATTCACTATTAAAACAAAGAAATACAAATCCAACATCCATTTAATATTATTACAACGAAATGCAAGTTCAAAGACATATATACGTGAATAACAAATGCAAACATGTTTTCACTTATCATCTGTTTGATTTTTATCCTTTGCTTCTAATGTGGCTTTATGTTGCCGATCTTACCCCGCTAGTCATGATTTCGAAACATTAAGTACAACCCTGAGAACAGAATGCCAAGCCACGATCTGGCCACGTGAATAAGTTGAAGTTACATCCTTCTAACAGGAAAAGTAACTTTCGTTATCATGGAATTATAACAAAACCTGCCAATTCAATATAAATGGAAAAAAAATATTATATGGAATTGAACGAAAATGAAAATTTGCTTGATAATTCAACTACGCTTGTTGGAAAACAATAAAAACACTACACTCAACAAGCCACCAATAAAACTCAACTGCCTAACCTATAACTAAAGTCTCCTTTTAATTTGTTTTTTAAAAAAAGCGCTTGACAAACTTGCCCCGCCTGCCGAAGTTGCCCCGATCTCCCCTAATACCAGTGACGTGAGCCAGGCTTTGGTCGGGCTTTTGAAAAGGTGGAGGAATGAGAGAGGGTGATGAAAGCAATGATTTTAGTAATTACATGGTACATTTATTGATTCGAGTATTTAACTGTAAAACATAAAAAATTGCTCGGAGTTAAGTTAAAGAAGGGTAGTCTTTAGGAGTAATTGGGGATGGAACCCCCACATTATTTTTTTATAGGATATCGATGAACAGTGCCAAATTCAGTTCAAATACGTTAAACAATATAGAATCCATTGCGTTGCAAACAAAGAAACATACGTACATACATATAGATATATATTTTTACTTTTATGTATATAGATTACTATTAAATAAACTTTATTTAAATGCTTCTGATAATGCGGGAGCTGAGTTTTTTTATATTTTAAATTTATCTATCAATAATTCAAAATATATGCTTTCCACCTCAAATTAGTACTGTCTTGTCTCAGTACATCATACTTTTTCGATTTGTACTGGAAGTTCATATATAGGCCTAATTAATCGTTGCCTACTGCACGTAAGCTTTCCATATCTCTTCTTGAATTTCATTTAAATGAACGTTTTCTCGAGATTGAGGTAGCACAGACACACAGACGGACGACAGTAAAAAGTTGTAGGTTTACAATTTTTTTCAAATTTCAGCCCAATAATTTTCTCAAAGATTAAAATTACTAAACGTTCAAATTTGTATGGTTTTTTTGAATCCAAAATCAATATACAAATTTATTTATTGGTTATATAATTACAATTAGTGTATATTCAGAGGCAATCAATCTACACTTATTAACTTTCCTACTTTTAACAGTAGAACATCCGAATATTCGAAAACCTGTAAGTGAATGCATTACGTTTCCTGTATTGCATTAATAATTCATAAAAGAAAGTTTAAAACGATAACACGTGTTACAAAATCATTCCCTTCTAAATTCAATGTAAGACGAATCATTCACATTAAAATGTAGCCTAAATATATGAAAATATCGTACTGTATTATCCGTATAATAAATAGTGGCGGCTAGTAACGTCTGCTATGTGGTGCTGTCGGAGGAGAGCACACAACCCTAGTAGTCTGAAATTAAAATTAATCAAACTACTGCCAATTATTCGAGGTTATCCACATTAACTTGGATAATCCTGGTACTTTAAAACCCAATTTAACAATTGGGCTTCAAAGTACCAGGATTTTGGCTGAAATTACCAAAACTGATTCACACTGTAAACATTGTTTCCTAATTGTTTCCTAATTAATTGTAAATTAATCAATTACTTTTATGTTTTATAATTAATGAATTTATATTAATTTATATTTATGTTTTTGCAGTCTCATAAATTATTCTTTTATATTGGACTGGCCGTGTTAGATATTATGGTTTTGATACTTGTAACTTATAAATATAAATATAGAAACGATGTTATACGATCTGAAACTCCATCAACAAAGAAGCAGATTCTTTCAAATGGAAATTAATAATCTGACACCCAAGATGGACGAAAAATAATGAAGCAGATCTATATATATATATTCTGAAAGATAATTATTTTTACTGTGCTGATGCAAAATTAATACGTTATTTATTATGTAAAGATTTTACGAGTTGTTATTGTATGCTCTACATATTATTTATTGAATATATAATTAGAAGTAATTTATAAAGTTTTTACGTTATTTATTTTGTTTGTTTGTTTGTTTGTATAACACAACGTGACACGTGAGAGATTTGCGAGGCAGGTTTCTTCTGGGAGGACTTTCTGCTGATAATGGTCTCTATTTTAAATGTTACAACGTGAAGAAAGCCCGGAAATCTCCACATTGTCAGTCGGTTGGTCAGGCGTTAATCTACAACTAACTAGCAGCTAGATTTTATCAAAAATATTAATACTTTCTTTATGCTTTCTATTTATTAAAAATCCTTGATGTCTACATTCAAATTTCATACAGATTTATTCGTTTTTATTGAAGTTTAGCACAGTATCATCGCCTTAAATCAGGATAGATTCAAGAAAATGAAATCGCATTATGTCTCGGGTCATAGATTACGATTTATTTCTTATAAGATACGACAATTTCGAACAGGAGGGCGGTGTGATCTTCTTTTATGTTGGAATTGCGTGTCGTCAGTCAGCGCATAAAATGAATTCCTGCCTAAATCTGTGCTCCACCCAATAATCCTAAATAATTGCCTAGACTTTTAAGCAACCATTTACATTTAACGTTTTATGTTGGTTTTATTATAATGAATATAATTCCAGCATAAAATTTCTGAATATATAGAGCAAAATCTTATTATACAGTATCGAATATATACTATTTGAAAACAGTTCATGAACGCCAAACTCCCGTATTGATTTCGGTTTTGTCAAGTCGTATGGAGTTTAGCTTCGGTTTAACTTTTCTTTTATACAACTCTCATACCTGTACATAAAAACTTAATTCTGATCTTCATATCCACATTAAAATTTTGTATTTTTCTTTTATCTTGCTATTTTTTCCTCAAAGGTAAGCTGTAGAAAATTACTTATAATATTCGTAGCATTACTTTTGTTCCATAAAGATTTACCCGTTTATATCCAAGAATTAACCTACCAGCGATTTATATCCAAGGATTAACCTACCAAGAATTTTCTCCATTCGCGAAAACACGAATTAGCATAAAATCTCCCATAAAAGAAACCACACAGTTTAAGTAACAGTATTAATTAATAATTTGATCAAGGAATAAAATTTTATCTCAAACTGTGTGGTAACCGTTAACAATTGATGTGGAAGTTGCCACAACTATTAAAAGAGACAAAAACAGTTACTACAAAAACAATTACATAAAACATTCTTTAAAAAATCTAGCAACGCGTTGCTTAACTTTCTCTGTAACATATAAAACTGCGCTATCAGTTACGATATTTTATTTTTTTAAATTTATGTAATTTTAACTATTATGAAATGCAAAAAGCTTGATTTTTTTAGGGTAGGAGTGGGTTTTATAAAAACTTGTAAATAATAATAACGAGTAAAATTGTCGTTAAGTCCGACCCATCTAGAGATACACACGACTCCCTTTATCTCATCACTTGACTTTTAATCACCAAAATTTAACAGAATAAACTTCCCTAATAAAGAAGATATTTTAAAAACACATACCTAATGTATTGTAATGATGACTAATTAAGTGTAATGCAAATTGAAATCACTTTGGCAACTATACCTACTAAAGAAGGTCGTAAATAAACCGGTTGCTATAATTTTGCAGCTTACCTGATTGAAGAAAGCTACTGAAATACGCAAATGTGTGGCTGCAAGGCGCACATGTTAAACGTCCGTATTAAAGATCCCAAATAAAAAATTGTCGTAGAGATTGTCATAGCGAATTTGAAATTTTCCAATTTATTTTATTTGCTGTCTTGTCCTGCATATTTCAGGCCGTCCCTCGTCACACAACTAACCCTATTTTGGGAGGCGTGTTATAATGCTCTAAAAGAGAAAATAAATCTCTGGGCTTCTCTGTACTGTACTCAAGACAGCTTTAAAAAGAAAACCCTATTTTTGACACATCGAACGAAAGGTACAGGAAAAACCTTATTGCGTGTAGGCCAGAAACATTCAAAAATTGTAAAAAGTAACAGAATAAATAATAATGTTTTATTGTTTAACCGTCAAATTGAAATGTTTTTAAATATTTTAAGCCTTAAATTTAATTAATTGTTTTGAAACATGATTGAATTCCTCTTTAGATTGTCGCTGTGTTTAGAATAATAGTTCATAATGTTTACTCTTGGACCGACAATTACGAAAAAAAAACAACAATTTAATTTTCTCAAAACTATTTAAAGCAATTTAATTAAATTTTTATAGAAAATCGATTGAACAAAACACAAACGTAATATTTCTTTATTTCATTCGTTCTAATTTTGTTAAAAGTACTGCATTTTTCGGATAAAGCAATTGAAGAAAATAAGAGAATTTTTAACATGTAAGTCCGGATATTTCATATCTATTTTAATCTAATACTAAGTTATGATAACTCTTTATAGAAATTATGAAAACAGCAAAGATAATAGAAATTCATACAAATTCGGAAGAGGGAGATAATGAAATATCTCAATATATTCCTAAACTACTTTCATTCAGCATGAAGTTATATGGGTGGAAATTATCAAAAAATTCTTTATCTGTTATCAATATTATTATTCTAATCTTAACTAATTTATGCACTTTGTATAACATTTTTATGTTTGTAATTTTTGTAAAAAACAATTGCCCATTATTCTTCTCTTTAAAATTTTTTTCAAATGTTTATATATACAGTCATGTGTTCGTTTAGTTTCCATAGTTTTTTTAAAATATAAAAAAGGAATCTGCGATAACTTACAAAAATTAATCAAAATATCAAAATCAAGAAAATTTAATGCATGTAAATCAAAGAATGTTATCTCGTTTCTGATAATATTAACTTGGTGTAATGAAGGAATTACAGAATTTCTTTTAATTTATTCTTCAAAACGTGGGAATACAATAAAATCTCCTGAAGATTTAGACATTTTTGGCTTTCGTTTTGACAGAAACATCCACTTGATTGTATTGGTAATTAATTTCACGTTGTTAAGTTTTGTCACACGTGTTCCGTTGAATCTTCTTTTCTTCTTCTTCGTGTCAATATGTAAAGAGTTAGAAAATGCATTTACACAATTATCGAAAAAGCTAAAAGATTGTGTCTTAGTTTCAACAGATGTAAATATTCTATCGAATACTTACACTGAAATTAAGGAAATTGTTTATAACTTCAATGACTTGTATTCATCGACATTATTTGTATGGACACTTGGAATGGGAATAAAATTAACGTTTAATTTATGTTACTTTTTATCAAAACGAAATTATAATTTTATTTATTGTTTGGCAATTTTCTTTTTGACTGTAGTTCCGTTTAGTTTCTTTTCTTGTGTTTGCTTGTCTGCTGCGCGTGTCTCTGATGCCACTCGAGAAATCGAAAATATTTTAGAATACAGAAGTGCCTTGACCTCTGATATTTCATTACAAAAATCTCTATTAAAATTTTCTCGAAAATTCTTTCACGAAAGGATATCGTTTTCGGCTTGTAATGCATTTTCTATTAAGCGTGAATTAATTTTTACAATTGTTGGTGTTGCTTTAACCTATACAGTGATTGTGGCTCAGTTTTCCGGACAACAGTAAATATTACGGACATGTATTCATTGATACAGTGTATATTCTATCAACACTATTTTAAATATATTCTATAAGAAGCTTTTCGATTATTCATTTGCAACATATGAATTATCCATTTGTTATGTAATAAATGATCTTTATGTTTATGCTTCTGTTTTCTTAAAAAGAGACAGGACAAACTTTGTTTCGAACTAACGTTCATCAAACGCTCTCGTTCTCGTCTCGTCTTTTCTCACGAGAGTTATGATACATATTTATTAATAATTTAAGTAATTACAGTTGTAGAAAAAATGTATAAAAAAACTAGATAAATGAAATTATGGAGTATTTAAACAATAATAAATTTGTAAAACATAAATATATGAGAAAATAACAAAAAAACATAATATCCGCGGGGTGGCAACATCCATCACTCCACCATCCATCCTGCCCACCTTGAAATCCCTAGATTTCAAGATTACTTGAGTTTTCAGGCAATCTACATAGCTGATTGATGTTTCGAGTAAATATTCCGTCCTTTGTTTTTATGTCGACAACTCTGACATGTCCATCCTTACCAGGGTGAGTTCTTATAATTCTAGCCAAAATCCACTTTGTAGGTGGTATATTCTTTTCTTTGACAAGAACTAAATCATTGTACTGCAGGTTTCTTCTTTTTTCTGTCCATTTTGGTCTATTTTGTAGTTGGCTCAGGTACTCCAAATGCCAACGTTTCCAAATGTCTTGCACCATGCGCTGGAGTAACTGCCATCGGGATAATCGATTCAACTTAATATGCTGAAGATCAGGTTCTGGTAAAGAAGTTAGGGCTTCCCCAAGAAGGAAGTGCGCTGGAGTTAATGCTGATAGTTCATTTGGATCTTCACTGAT